TAGATTAGGAATCTTAGCCTTAATTATAGCTATCTTTAGCTATTAAAGTATTTAAATAAAGGTATCTATATCTTCCTTTACTGCTAACTTAAAGCTAGCGTTAAAGTTTATATGCAGTGCTGTTATCCTTATAATTTAAAGTAGGGGCATATTAAATTAGTTTACCTTATAGGTGTTATTAAGACTAAGGAGTTCTAGGTTCTGTTTTTAATTAGCTATATTATTTTTATAGGTCTAAAAAAACCTATATAATTAGCCTTTATTATTATAATTAACTGTAAAATAGTATATCTAATTATTATATTTAAGCAGCCTAAGAAAGGCCTATATGGAGGTGTAAGGGCTATACTGCTTAAAATAAAGCTTATACTAATATAACTAGACGTCTTTTTTAATAATTAACACTTAAGGATATTCCTTACTAATTTTAATAGTAATAGTCTTTTTAATTAATAAAGGGTTCTTAGACTAGGTAGTAATAAGGTTATTAAGTTAATTAAGGCTAAAGGCTTTATAAGATTTCTTATAAAGATAAGAAGAGAGAATTAAGTCTTTAAGGGGATTATAATTATGCTGTAAATTAGTGGCTTTAATAATCTAGTAAAAGCGCTAAGTCTATAAGGTAATAATAAGGGAAAATAAGCAGCTAGACTTCTTTATTAATATTTTATTAGCTGTTTTCCTATTACCTTAGTTATAATAGCTGCTGCTATACTTATAAATAATATAGCAGCAGTTAAGGCAGCCTTTAGTATTACAGGTTATTTAAGCCTTAGAAATAATAAAACCTTTATTAGCTTAGGCATCTTATAAAGCGCTATAGGCAGCTTTAAATATCTTAAAAATTTACTAATAAATAAAGCTTATCTTAGCAGTCTTAAAGATATAGAAATTATACTAGTTATAGTAGAAATAGTAATAGAAATTAATAGCAGAAGTTAAGGCATAATTTTAGCGCTAATAGTGTGTTTCTTAGTGTTTTATAGCGGCTAAAAGCTAGGTTAGCTAGCAGGAAGATATATTACTAAGTTATATGCTTAGCTATAGTATTTTTAATACTAAAAAGGACTTTTAAAGATGATTAATAAAGATGATAGTATATATTTTGCATGCATAATTACTATAGGGGGGCTACCTTCCCTGATGTGGTTTAATTATGTGTGGAAATGAACTTTTGATATGTGGAAATCGAGGGGCTCGCTTTTGGTTGCTCCAAACGTCCACTTTTTCCCTTTCCATTTCGTGATCCCGAGTCGGCGGCGCCAGGGCAGGTATGCCCATTCTAGAACGTGTTTGGAATGGTTGTCAGTCCGGGTCCATCCCTTGACCCATATCGTACGATTCGCCTAAGCCTCGTCAAACGCGATATGGATGGCCCAAACGCCCGTGGCGTCGGTGGTTGGTTGAGATTGAGATAGCTTCCCTCTTCTCTTTTCCTTTTTTTTTTTTTTTTTGTTCCTCATGATCCAATATTTTTCTCAGCCGCGGATACATACCGCTGGAGTGGAACCGTGTGAAGCATGAGGCGGCACAATGCGGCGCATCCGGCTCCTTGCGGGCTGGAGACGGACAAGTCATCCCATTGACTTTTATGGCTGAAGGAGTGAAGCCCGATTTGTTGATAAAGCTCCATGTCCGCCCCAGACTCTTCAGCCTTCTTCTCCGCATAAACGCGGATGGCTGTTGGTTCCTACGTGCTGCGATTATCTGATTTTCCACTTTCCTTGTCACAACAGAGCTGCCTGGCCTTGATACCCTTCTCAAGCGATTGTCCCTAGGTTACCCGAGCTTGATATATACCTACCTACTGTACCTACGATACATCTTGATCAGAGAATATCCTACGCGCCTCATAGCCGCCTTGTACACAGCTTGCCACTTCAGCGATTCAAGCCTGTCTTGTGTCAAGCATCCCGAAACATGGCCTTGACTTTCCAGCAGGTCAAGCTGGTCAGGGATACAATCCCGGCCCTTACTGAACATGGAGAACGCATCACAACCACCTTCTACCGAAACATGCTCGCGGATCATCCCGAGCTGCACAACTACTTCAACACGGTCAACCAGGCAAACGGCCGCCAGCCCCGTGCCCTGACTGCCATCATCCTCAGCTTCGCCAACAACATCAACCACATCACAGAGCTCATCCCCAAGATGGAGCGCATGTGCCAGAAGCACTGCTCTCTCGGCATCCAGCCCGAGCATTACGACATCGTGGGCAAGTATCTCATCGCCGCCTTCGGGGAAGTTCTGGGACCGGCCATGACGCCGTCCGTGCAGATTGCCTGGAACAAGGCCTACTGGTTGCTCGCAAAGATGCTCATCGGACGAGAGGCCCAGCTGTACCACGACTGGCAGCACTGGCAGGGGTGGAGGCGGTTCCGCATTGAGCAGAAGGTGGAGGAATCGGACGACATATTCTCCTTCTACCTCGTCCCGGAGGACGGCAAGCAGCTGCCGAGCTTCCTGCCGGGCCAGTACGTCTCTGTGCGAGTCCAGGTCCCTAACAAGGACTACAAGCAGCTAAGGCAATATTCGCTCAGCGAACAGCCGAGGCCAGACTACTATCGCATCACGGTCAAGCGAGATCGAGGCTCACAGACAGTTCGACCCCCAAGCTACCTGACCGATTCGTTTGGCGAAAACCCGGGCGTCGTCTCCAACGTGCTTATTGACCAGAAGAAGGCCGGGGACATCATAGAGCTTACACATCCCGCGGGCGAATTCTTCCTCGACACATACAACACCTCGAATGCTCCTCTGGTGCTCATCTCGGCCGGCGTTGGCGTCACCCCCATGGTATCCATCCTCAACTCTGTCATTGAGAAGCAGCCCAACAGGCAGATATCGTGGGTCCAGGGATCCCGAGACTCGATCCCGTTCTTCCTCCATATACGCAAGATTGCCCGGGACAAGCCCAACGTCAAGACGAACATCTTCAAGACGCGCCTGGCTGAGTCTGATCTAGCCGGCGTCACGTATGACCACGACGCGCGGATCGATCTGGACAAGGTGAAGGCGGAAGATTTGTGGCTGGGCAACGCCTCAACGGAGTACTTCATCTGCGGACCGGAGCAGTTTATGATGGAGATGGCGAAGCGGCTGAGGGAGTTTGGTGTCGGCAGCGAGAGGATCAAGCTTGAGCTGTTTAGCACGGGCGATACCGAGTTCCAGGTTGATGCTCTGAGTATTGCGTCTGGACGGTCAACGGGGGTGACGCCTTGCAGTAGCAGCAATTGACGGTGCTGCTTGTTTACAGGGTTGCCTATCTGACAGCTAGATACACGAGAGCTTTATGCGGATGGGAAAGGTTCGTGAAAGGTCATGGTACGGAACATAGAGGCGGAACTGGGCATCATTGCAGGGTCTGGTTGGCATTTACCGGGTAGAATTACGACAAGATGTTAATGAATCATACAGGATGGATAAGAGGTACATTCAAGAGGCAAAGCAGAAAAATGGAGTTTGTTTGTTTGTTTGTTTGCAAAGAGATAAGGGACGATTCAAAGCACGTCCGGTATCGCAATGTCTCGTTGAGTGCTTACCTTGTTGAGTCAATGTTTACGTGAAGCAAACAGAGCGTTATAGCTCGGTATTAAGAGTTGTTTTTTTCCTTCGCATGATGCGAGAGCCTTCTAGTCTACGGTTTGCTTTCATCCGAGGGTGAGCCTCAATAATTCCCACAACACCTTGAGTCAATCGAATATCAGGTTGAATTGCGTCTCAACTTCTCAACCACCCACCTCGCGATCCTTACGCAGCTATCCAATGATCCCCCAGCAGCATCATGTGTTTCTAATCCCAGTTCGCATTCCCGATGTGAGCCGCAGATAGCAATCAGATTCAGGGTAATAGTACAAAGCCCATGTCCGGGGGATCTTGGTAGTAGTGGGAGAGTTACCGCCGCGGGACCTGGCCAGAGTTACGCGGGATCGTCGGGGCTATGCAGATCCAGCAGACTTGCAGCGGATGTGAAACAAGGAAAAAGACGGGCCCTAGCGATTGCTGATGATGCCTGCTAACGAAAAAGGGCGGAAGAGAGAAACAGAGGAGCCAAGGCTGCAAGAACGCGAGTCGACAGAGCCCGGTTAGGAAACTGTGAAATACCCTGACAGACTGAGGCGCGGTACGGTATTGGGTAGTACTAGTAGCCTCGAGGGGGGTTGTTTTAGGTAGCTTGGCTTCAGCATTGCCTCAGAGCCCCCTTGTCGTGCTCCAAGGACGCCAAGATGGTCGGCCAAGTCCCGAGTTTCGCGCATGAAGGTGTGTGTGTGTGTGTGTGTGCGTGTCCTCGTGCCCCCCTGTCGATGGGACGCCAATGCTGCCAGTAACGGTTTAGGCGGTGCCCATGGGGCGGTTCGTGACGCCTCGCAGCGCCGCGGTCAGCACTTTCAGTGCGGGTGTCGGCAGTGGGTGATTCGCGCAGCGGATGTCGAGAGTCTCCGGCATATAAGGTTGCTGGTAGTAGTAGTATGTTGACGATGCCCGGCACACAATCTTGTAGGGGGGGGGAGAGGGGGCCATCGTTCTGAGATAAGGTGCGAGATAGCGAGTTGTAGGGGGCCATTAAAATAGACTGAGGCCTGGAAGCTCGAGAGTCAGCAGGAGGATCGGAGGGCAGGATAAATACTAGAGAAGAATGGCTTGTTAGGTAGTAGGCGTCGCTGGTGGGTGTTGCTACCTTAGGTAGTTGACCCTGATGGCTTGGGCTTGTTGCCGCCATCAGATCCATCTAGTAGTACTGCCCTTCGTCCAACGACTTGGCGATGGTTCATGTTGTTTCGCCAGAGTTTACGTCTCCTATTAATGGGCTCTTTTGTTGCTTTGCTCTGGCTCAGCTTGGGGTTTTCCCACTGCGTCCAGCTTCGTACTAGCTACAGTAGCTGTCAGATTCAAGCTCTGGCTTGTTCTCGGCCCTTCCCCCCTTTTCTGTTCATGCTCCTCTCGCAAAGGGTCAGTCTGGCCCATCTGGCTCTGGCCTTGCGCTCTCCATCCCCATCATGCTTTATGCTCTCGCCCTCAGCCATCCCACACCCCCTAACCTTGCTCCCTCAACGGAATGGCGAATTGGCCCTCCCCGAGCAATCGACAGCAACCCAACCTCGACGGTCCATTTTCCAACGCCCAGCAGCGGTCCTTTTACCCCGCGTCTCCCGGCTTCCCTGTGGCTCCTTGCCTCTGGCCCCGACCCAGGTTTGATTTGCTCATCTAGAAAGCTTCCATATCCATCCAAAAACCCCATAACCCATCAACCCATGCCCGGCTCTTGGGGTCTGGGTCTCTCTTTTTTTTCTTACCTTACTCTTCCTCCATCAATCTCAAACCCCGGCACTAGGGCGATTTGCTTCTCCAGTGCTCAATCCCAGAACCGCCTTTTGTTTCTCGCGTCCTTCTTTTTCTGGATACCGCCGTGTCGAGTTTGAGGGCGTCTCCCGCTTCTTCGCTTCTTGATTTTTTCTTCGTATTTTGGACTTCATTTTGGTTTTGTTTTTTCTACCTACGTTACGAGCGATATTGACATTCAGTGACTTTTTCCTTTGTCTTGATCTCGCCTCTTGATGAATGACTTTTCTTGTTCAGCCATGTCTTTTTGATTTTCGATTCATGACTTGTCTTTGATTGAAACGATTCTCTCGATTTCTCCATCTAAGCATCCGCCCACTCACCGGTACAGCAGCTCTTCGGGGATTTAAGCTTGCATGAGAAGCTTGTAAAAAGGCACTCTCATCGATTTTATATCGCTTGCTTCCTGAATGGCGCGCCGCATTCGAAAGACGCCGTGGAGCCGCACGGGTTGCAGTACGTGCAAGCGGCGGAGAAAGAAGTGTGAGTTCCCTTTGCGGCATATCTGCTGATGGATGGTCTCGTGTTGCTTGTCTGTTACGTGAGATGATGAAAGGAAGTTGGACTTGATACTGACGCTGAATACCAACAGGTGATGGCCAGAAGCCGAGGTAGGCCGTCATGTCATGTTCCAGCTGTTGTCGTCTCTTGCTTAGCATCAATGTCGTCTCCTTTCCTTACACGCTGCTCTTCCCCTCTACTGGTCATGCAACACTCTACGCAACGACGTCGCCATTACACAAGGAGACGAAGAAGAAGTCTACGATGATGAGAGCCCCCTTGGCTCTTTGGCCCTCTGATATTCTCACTCGACCAGTTCCCGCTGACGGCTTGGCGACTCGCAGGTGCCAGACATGCCTCCGGCTCGGCCTCGAATGCGTGCAGTTTGACATCTTCTGTCCCATCAACGTCGTCACGCCGACACGCGACACCCGGTCGTCGAGATCCGCGAGCGACGCCGACGCGGAACCGGATGCGGACGAATCGAACCACTCGAGCCCGGCATCGACTTCGTCGGGGTCCTCCGGCGGCTCGACAGAGGATGCCGAGTCCAGCAGCGGCCGCGAGCTGGTGCCGATGAAGGCGCGCAGGCTGTCGCGGTCCTCGACCCAGTCCCAGCCGGAGCTGCAGTTCCAGACGCAGTTCCAGCTCGTCCACCCGGGCCGCCGTCGCCGCGGCAATCGCGAGAACCAGGATCGCCAGGCCGTGGCCCTGCGGGCGCGCGGCGGCTCGCGGGAGATTCCGTCGCTGTCGGAGTTTTCCTATCTCTCTACGAGCGAATACTTTTACCTGCAGTACTACCTGGAGCGGCTGAGCAACGTGCTGGTCAACGCAAACAGCCGCGTCAACCCGCTCAAGTCGCTGATTCTGCCGCGGATCTCCTCGTCGAGCCTGCTGCTTGATGCCATCTGTGCCACGGCTGCTGTGCACCGCTCGAGCGCATCAGAGGTGGATCGATCGGAATACGCAACCATGGCAACGCGATATTATGTCCGGGTGTTGTCGGCGGTGCGAGAGTTGATCCCGCGAGTGTCGAGTTCTAAATCGGGTTCCGGTTCCGGCTCTGGCCGAGCAATGGATTTGATAACTGATGGGAACGAAGCAAGTCCTGTCGACGACGGTAGCGATATTGGCGAAGACGATGCTGCCAGCAGTAGTGGCAAGGGCAAGGGCAAGGGCAAAGCCAAGAATAACAGGAGCAAGGCCATCGAGGACAAGGACACGGCTGAAATGGCCATCCTCGCCTCAATCTTTCTCTGCAAGTACGAGATCATCAAGGACGGCGTTGAGAATTGGCGCTTGCACCTGAGAGGGATCGAGTCCCTGTGCCAATCGCTGGATGCAGACCAGGCTGCCTCCATGTCGGAGACGCTGACCTACGTTCGAAGCTTGTGAGTGCTGGCTGTCTTCTTGTTGCCCCTGAGCGTCTCGCCTCTTTCTCCTCGTCTGTTGGGCTAATGAGCAAACAACAACAGCATGTCGTATCATAAGAATATTGCTCGCATCACAGAGACTTCACCGCAGGAAGCCGACGAGTTTGAGCACGAGCCCTTTGAACAAGACAGACTGTTTCCAGTCGACCCGTACATGGGCTTTTCCCAGAGCCTCATCATTCTTCTAGGTCGAGTCAATGATCTCCTCGCAATCAACGTCCAGCATGAACCCGAGAAGCTGGAGCAAGGGATCAGGGAATTGTATGTGAAAGCCGATGGTCATCTTACCCACTGGAGTGAGGGCCTGAGTGATGGCCCGAGTGAGGGAGTCAGTGAATGAATGAATAGCTGACTGAGCTGTGATTGCGATAGGTTGCGCCTGCTCGCCCTGAGAAGCTGGGACGCGCATCGATTCGCCATTCCAGAGGGTATGAAGCCGTCGACAATCGAAAACTCTTCCCACATTGCCGAGGCGTATCGGTGTGCCGTCATTGCCTGCGTCCATGCCGCTCTCGAGCTTCTGGCGGAGAGGGAGCCGAGGGAGCGAGGCGGCGTCGTTTCGTCTCGACCAGGTTCAACGCCGCTGGACTTGTCGTTGCCGTCAGAGTCGCTCTCGCAGTTGTCATTGTCACCACAAGCCCTGACACAGGCTCAAGTACAGGCTCAAATGCAAGCTCAATTGGAAGCTCAACATCGAGCCCAGTTCCTGGCACAAGCCCAGCACAAGATGCCAATCAACTGGGGCTACCTGCATGCTCTGCTGCCCATGACAAAGGCCGACGCTCTGACAGAGTGCCTGGCGGCGGTGGCTCGGGTTCCGCTTGGGTGTCCGGAAGAGGCCGGGCTGCTCCCTCTCCTCTTCATCGTTGCCTGTGAGACCAACCGGCCGGAGCAGGCGCGGGAGGCGCTGCAGCGTGTGGAGGCGCTGGGCAGCCACATTGGCTTGGGCAACGTCAGGTGCGCGAGTGCCTTGTTGAACCAGGTCTGGAAGAGGAGGTCGGAGAAGGGAAACTTCTCGGACTGGAGGGGGTTGCTGGCGGATGCCAATTGGGATCTCATCATCACTTGAGCTCACTTGAGAGGGCCATCATCATCTCCCTGCAACGGGAGTTTCCTCAACACACAAAGAAAATTCGGACGGAGATGGCGTCTTTCCACTCCATGATGATGTGTTGCTTCCGTCTTCTGGCTTCTTTTCCTTGATTTTCCTTTGTTCCCGCTTTTCATTATTCCCTTGGTGCGGTTCTGTTCCATCCCCTTGGCCCGTTTTGTTTGTTGTCGTCGGTTCGATATGCATTCGCTCTCTCTCGATGGTGTCATTTGTCTTTGAATATTCGTATGGGAAACATGACTGGGAGGATGGCGTCTAGCTATAAGCACATAGCCAAAACTAGTAATTCTCTGAGAAAAAAAACCGATTCCATCATCGGAGAAAACAGAGGTGGGATGGGGACAAGGACGGACCTTGGCTTTAAATCTCGTCGACTAGCCCGTCCGACTAAGCCTCGACCAAGCACAAACTAGCAAGGGAGCTGCTCCATATAGCAGCACTGTGATGTGACTAGAAATAGTGTCAACGGCTGGAATGGGGGCCGCCGCTGATGATGTGCTTGCTCTGGTGATTCAAGGAGATGTTTGCTTCTTTGCTTCTTGTTTTCTTTTTGCCCCCTTCTTATTACTTACATGAACAACACAAGACGGAAAACAAGGGAAGAAGAGCCAAGGGGAGGAAGCCTCCACAGCGGCTCTGTCGTGATTTTCTTTCCCGTTTAGGGCGCGTATCTTTGGCCCGAATCGGAATCGGAATGACGGTTGCTGTATTACTTGGAGGGCGTCCTTTTAGAAAAGGGAGAAACTCGACTAAGGTAAGTGCTTGGGGCCACCTCCGCATTTGTATGGTGGTGGTTGGTTCAATGGGGGAGGATCGGATGTTGTTGGTTTGTCTCTCTCTTTCTTTTTTCGTTGGTTTTTTGATCTCGGTTCATTATTACCTTGCTGGGCCCTGGCAACTTGGGTCAAAATCCGCAAGGGGGGAATCCTAAAAAGATAGTCGATAGATAGATTGGTGAGGGGGAGGGGGTTCGGTATTCGGTTTTGCATCCGATTTGGAAGTTGAAGCGTAATTTGTACATTGCACTTGGCGCCGGTTTCCGGGACCTCGCGCGTCTTCTTTTCCCTTCTCTATCGAGTGGGCATGGAGAGCAGAAGCGGCGTGATACTAAGAGGGACGGGGTTCATTTATATACTTGCACGAACGGGGTGGTTGGGCACGTCCGAACCTTGTATATCTCGGTCCATATCTGTGGGTAAAGCCGAAGTTGTCGTGATGGCGAACGAATAGGCAAAACGGGATGGGGCCGTTGCCAAGCTGCGAGATGTCGATGGGCTTGTACAGAGAGTGAGTGATACCGGCATGGTTTCAACGTTAGTGTTGTGCTAAGTGAGGTGGTGAGAGTCGAGTACTACTAGATAAAACGGCCTTCCGTCCCCCCCCTTTTTCTTTGAAAGATCATGTTTTGTCCCGCCTTCTAGCAACCTGAGGAAAACTTGACTGGTCAGCTTTGAGAGGTCTCGGCTGGAAGAAAGAACAACGGCTTGGAGAAGAGCGCGTGGCCGATCCTTGCTGACTGACCTGGGTATTGCGTCCTTGACTACTGCGGGCGAGAGCTTTTGGATATTGGAGGTGAGATTCCGGATACTATTGCGGATACTGGGCGATTTGCCGCTATTTCCGTGCAAGACCAAGCACAACTCCATGCTCTGAGGGCTCCCACTGGTCAGGTCCCTCCCAGTGATACGATATACGGCAGACGGCAGACGGCAGACGACAGACGGCACACTCGATCTATACGCCCAGCTCTTATACATTCATTGGCATTGGCATTATTAGCAAAAGATACATAACATACATCCAAAGATGCATCCCTTCGACCCCATTCGTCCAGACGAAATCACCCTCGCCACATCCATCCTCAAGGCGTCTCTCCCCGGCATCAGCCTCCGCTTCAAGGTCATCGACATCCAGGAGCCCATCAAGCAGCATGTCATCCCCTACATCGAGGCCGAGCGGACGGGCCAGCCTCTCCCCAAGCCGCCGGCTCGGCTCGTCTACAGCTACCTGCACCGCCTGGACACGCATGCCTTCCTCAAGGCCGTCATCAACCTCGACACAAAGGGCGTCGTCTCCCTCAAGGAGCTGCCCAAGCACATCCAGGGCCCCGTCGACGTGGACGAGATGATTGGGCTCGAGACGGTCTGCCTCAAGCACCCAAAGGTCATTGCCGAGATTGAGAAGCTGCAGCTGCCCGACGGCGTCACCGTCTGCACGGATCCGTGGATCTACGGCACCGACGACGAGGCCGAGCACCGCCGGCTGGTGCAGTTTTACATGTTCATCGTGCCCGTGGCGCACCCGCAGTCGAACCACTACTCGCTGCCGTGTGCCTTTTCGCCCGTGCTCGACGCAAACTCCAAGGAGCTCGTCCGGATCGACTACTTACCCACGGGCCGCGGCCACGACGTCTCTGAAACTCAGCCGTGGAAGCCCGTCAAGGCCGTCGAGTACGCCCACGAGCTGCTGGAGACGCCGCTGAGGACCGACCTGAAGCCGCTGATTGTCCAGCAGCCCGAGGGGCCCTCCTTTTCCCTGGATGGACACCTCGTCAAGTGGCAGAAGTGGCGGTTCCGCGTCGGCTTCAACTACCGCGAGGGCCTCGTCCTGTACAACCTCACCTTTGACGGCCGCAACGTCTTTTACCGCCTCGCCCTCTCCGAGATGACTGTCCCCTACGGAGACCCCCGTCGGCCATACCACCGAAAGCAAGCCTTCGACGTGGGAGACGTTGGCCTGGGCATCACCTGCAACCAGCTCAGCCTCGGGTGCGACTGTCTAGGCCACATCAAGTACTTTGACGGCTTCCGTATCGACTCCGCGGGCCGGCCGGTGCATCTGCAGAATGTCATCTGCCTCCACGAGCAAGACGCAGGCATCCTGCACAAGCACACAAACTACCGCAACGGAGAGGCGACGGTGGTGCGGAACCGACAGCTGGTGGTGCAGATGATCTGCACCGTCTCCAACTACGAGTACATCTTCGCCTGGGTGCTGGACCAGGCGGGCGGCATCGAGTTCGAGGTCCGGGCCACGGGCATCCTGTCGACGATCCCGATCGACGACGGCGAGGGCCTCAACCTGCCGTGGTCGACGCCTGTAGGGCCGGGCGTCTCGGCGCCGTACCACCAGCACATCTTCAACCTGCGCGTCGACCCTGCCATTGACGGCTTCAACAACACGGTGACATACGAGGACAGCGTGCCGCTCGACCCGGAGCAGGACGGCATCGAGGACCCTTTCGGCGTGGGCTACGTCGCGCGGACGACGGTGCTCGAGGCCGCGGGCTTCGCAGACACAAACGTCGAGCTGGGCCGCGTCTTCAAGATCCGCAACGACGGCGTCGTCAACGCCATCAGCCGCAAGCCCGTGGCCTACAAGGTGCAGACCGTCGCCAGCCAGCGCATGCTCATGTCGGCGCGCTCCTTCAACGCCCGCCGCGCGCGCTTCCACGAGCACGCCGTGTGGGTGACGCGGTACCGCGACGGCGAGCTGTTCGCCGCGGGCGAGTTCACCAACCAGAGCCGCGTGAGCACGGGCGTCGACGTCTGGGCCGCCAGGGGGGACGACGTCCGCAACCAGGACGTGGTGTTTTGGCACACCTTTGCGCTGACGCACAACCCGCGGCCGGAGGACTTTCCGGTGATGCCCGTGGAGCGGCTGAGCGTGCACTTCAAGCCGGTTGGGTTCCATGAGAAGAACCCGGCGCTGGACGTGCCCAATTCGCAGCAGGGGGTGAATAAGTCGACGTTGGTGGAGGAGGTGGCCAAGGAGGTCAAGGACTGCTGCAAGCTGTAAATGTCCAAGACGGACATTGTAGTGCATGGAGCATGCAGTCTTATCACATACCTAGGTTGATGTTGACGTCGAAACTGTTGGAAAGGCAAAAAGACATATGGATGTAAGGCAGACTCTGCTTGGATACCTGTCAGTGACATTTGGAAAAAATAAAAAGAAGAGACAGAAGATGATGAGGATGAGTTATGAAGAAGAATTGGAAATGACCATGTCTTGTTTTCTCTTGTAAGCCATCGTGCTCCCATTCAAGAGAAGTCTATAGAAACAACTATACGATGCTTTGGATACTACTACTATATCGATCATGCCATCCGTCACACTTTGTCACACTTTGACCCAACCAAGCTCGTCTCACTCACTTGCCCAGCAACGCCTTTTCAATCACCCTCGCCGCCTGCAGCACCAGCCTCTCGTGATACCGCTTGCCCACGACCTGCACGCCAATCGGCAGCCCCTCGGCGTCCTCGGGCGAGTAAATCTCCCAGTAGTGCTTCTCCAGCTCGTTCTTGGGCTCGTACGCCTCCCTGAGCTCGGCCGCCGTCGCCGCGCCCACCAGCTTGTTCGCCGGCATCGCCACGGCCGGGTACTGCAGCAGGTTCCAGATGGCCGTGTACCCCCAGTATCTCGTCGCTCCGTGCGGGCCGGCCACGCTCGGGTACACCGGGGCGAGCACCACGTCGACGTCGAACTGGTTCCAGTGGTCGCTGTACTGCCGGCGGAAGCCATCGCGGGCCTCCTTGAGCCCCTCTGGCGACGACGCCACCTCCGCCCGCCCCTTTTGGCACTCGTTGATGATCCATTCGGTCAGCGGCAGGACGGGCTCGCCCCCCTTTTCGCAGATGGCGCGGATGTTGGCGCCGCCGTCCTCAAAGTAGTTTGCGGCAATGATGCTCCAGCCCCTGGCGTGCTCCATGGGGGAGAAAGTCACGACCTGCACGTCGACGGCGCGGCCCAGCTTCTCGGCGATGCGGCGCATGGCAGTCCGGACGGGAGGCAGCGGCGAAACGACGCCGTCGTCCATCAGCAGTCCAACCTTGAGCGGCCGGGTCTCGTCCAGCTGGCGGCCCATGGCGGAGGACAGGATGCTGCCGGGGATGAGCGAGACGTCGTCGATCCAGGGAAGTGTTGACGAGTACGCCTTGCAGAAGAGCTCAATGTCGCGCAGGGAGCGGGCAAAGGGGCCTAGAGTGCCGGCGATGGCGTCGTGGCCGGGCGTTGGGACGACAACTCCGATGCCGCTGAAGCGACTGGGCGAGGGCACGAAGCCGTAGAGCTGCGCTTCTTTGTCAGTATTGTACGGAGAATTTTGGAAGCATTGACTGCTGGCGTCTTGTTGCTCACCCCGTTGAAGGCTGCGGGAATCCGGATGGAACCCCCAATATCGCCCCCTATGCCCAGCACCGACGCATTCATGCCCATCAGCGCCGCCTCGCCTCCCGTGCTGCCTCCCGCCGTCAGCTGCCTGTTGCGCGGGTTCACCGTCGTGCCGTAGATGTTGTTGGACGTCTCCAGGTGCATGCCGGCCTGCGGCTGGTTCGTGCGGGCAAAGACGACGGCGCCCAGCTTGCGGAACGTCTTGACGATGGCGGCGTCGTCGCGGCTGGTGTTGTTGATCCAGGCGACGAAGCCGGCGTTGGTCAGGTGCGAGGCGACGCCGATCTGGTTCTTGAGGGACAAGGGGATGCCGTGGAGGGGGCCGATGAGGCGGCCGGTGAGGGCGAGGTGCTCGTCGCAGGCCTCTGCGTCGTAGATGGCCTCGGGGAGGAGTTCCGTGAGGCAGTTGGTCTGTCAACTTTGTCAGCCCAGTCACGGTAGAGAGCTCTAGAGAACACCAAGAAAACACCAAGAGGGGAAGAAGAAGAGGGCACAGAACTGATGGGATAACAAGCAAGAAGAATGTCATCATTTAACTCACACACTGCTGGGCTATCGTGGCCCTCTTGCGAAACGCCGACAAAAGCTCAACCGCCTTCACCTTCTTCGCCGCCAGCATCTCCAGCAGCGCCGTGGCATCGTACACCTCCGTCAGCTGCAGCTCCGCGTCCGTCAGCAGGTCGCTGGTTCGAGGCACCGACGTCACATCCTGGGGAAGAGATGTGATCTGGGAGAGGGAGAAGAGGACGCTCTTGTCGAGGGAACCGTCCCGCAGGGAAATGGCGAGGCGGATGTGGTCCTGCGATTCGGGCATTTTGGTGGTGGCGGAGGAGGAGGTTGTTTTGTTTTGTTTTGTTTCGTTTTGTTCCGATAATCTAATTACAGAGAAAAACAACTCGGGAGATGGAGCTACAATCGGCAGACTCAGGAACCCCGGCCAGTCTCTGGTGGACACGAAGCTATCACTCTCGACTGCAGATTCCAGCTTCAGTTGCTGCTCAAGTCACAAAACAAACACTGAAGTCATCCTCGATCTTCATCCTCCAGCTTTGCGTGGTTCGGTTCGACCCCTCACCAGTTTGCCTTCCCAAAGCAGCATCCAGCTATGATACGCCATGGCGGCCCAACATGCATCTACAGGAATCCGATGGAGAAACGAGGACCTCAGGAAGAGACTGAACAAAAACAGATTATCCAATTAATATTCAATACGGAATTCAAATCTCTGTTAACGAATATTACTATGTACTACCACCTCGATAGATTATGCGCGCATCCCCCTCCCCCTCTAGCGTAGACATTGCCCTCTTTGGCATAGCCCTCGACGCGGGCAACAGGAGCAATGAAGCCGGAGCGAGGATTGAGCACAACTGGGGAAGCCGTTGGAGGGCTTCTGCTCGGTTGATTTGTCCCCGGCATGAGGAGATGCTGAAACAATCTGCAACCTTGACCTTGGCCTTGACCTGCCATGTCATGTCATGCCACTTTGGTCTTGTGTGTGTGTGTGTGTGTGTGTGTGTATGTACGAGGTAGTAGTATGTACATACTTGCCATCTAAACCGGACCTTGTTCATCACACATCACCTTCAAGTTCCCGCGCGGGGTTTTGCAAATACTGTAGCCTGTAGGTACCTACCTACTAGATAGACTACTATCAAGAGCCTAGGCCGGGGTTTGCTTCCCACTTGTTACGTGTAATTTTCGAGTCAGACACGGCGGGATCAATGGGGCTCGGGAGAGGCACATGGGGTCAAGTATGTACTATCGGCACTCGCTTGTGGAGCGGGATTGCCACGCTGCGTTGGTTGTGATGAGAAATGCAAACCGACAAGGTGGTTTGACGGCGGTTGATGGTTGGGTGTATTCACATATGTACTAGGTATGCATGAATTATCGTACATGGATCCGCTGGGCCGGATGCGACGGCGATGTTCATGTCTTGAAGAACAACAGCATGAACAACAGTAGCCATGATGACGGTGAATGGGTAAATGATGGCGATTTTCGTTCGCGGCACGTCGTCCTCGTGGAATAGTATCACGATATACCTAGGTAGTTGCAGTAATTTTCACAGTCATTTGGTACTTGATGCTATAGGCCCGAGCTCATACATGTTATAGCCATATCATTAAGAACCCATTAATCCCATTCCCGTTTCCCATTCCCATGCCTGCCTCAAAGACATGCAACCCATTAGTTCGTATAGTATATAGTCGTCAAATCGAATCCCATCGGTAGCTCCAGACCCCGGTTCAGTCATCACACGCTCAACCAGACAAGTAAAAGTAGAAACAAGAGAGAGAGAAACGGCTGCTTTACTCCTTCTGTGAGCCCGTCGTCTCGCTCTGGTCCAGAGACTTGTCGTGCATCTCCTCGACATGCTCCTCAACCACCTCCTCGAACGCTTCGGGAATCACCACACCCTCCTCCTGTCCATACTTGGTGTTCGTCGTGTAAAAGTAGATGCTGATCATGGTCAGGATCAAACCCAGCATCATCATGCCGAAATAGGCGCCAGCCTCTCTGATGAACTGCACGCCGTGAGTGTCGATTCCAAACGCCGTCGCCGTGCCAAACGCCTGGAATCCCTTAAAGTATCCGCTGTAGCGTCCCAGAACGTGCGGCTCGTTGGAAAAGGTGCTGTATGTCCAGTGGTGGAAGTTTTGGAAGATGGGGTAGCAGGCGCCGAACAAGATGTAGATGACAAAGGGGCCGGCAAACTTGGTCGTCTCGGTCCAGTCAATGGCTCTCGGAGTCTCGCTTCGGTCGATGTCGTTGACGGACAGGAAGGAAATCATGGCGATCCACGTTCCTCCAATAACAATGGTCACGAATGCTCCGGCCACAAAGGCCCGGCGTCGACGGGATCCCAGGATTGAGGCATCACAGATCCAGGCAATGGCGAGGGCACCCATGACTTGGAAGATCCAATAGCAGAACTATCGTCACAGTTAGGACTCGCCTGGACAGGATGGTGATGGATGAGAGATGCTCACATTGGCAAGGGATCGCGTTCTGGCGTTAAAGTACCACGCGTTGAAGGCTCCCGTCAGCGACAGGTACATTTCACTGCTGTAGATGGACAGCGTGATCAACGCCATTTTGGGCTCCAGCATTGTCAGACCGAGAGCCTTGAGCTCCTGGTACCAAGGAAGGGGCGTGAAGGAGGCGATTGGTCGGCCGTCGTTTCGTCGAAGTTTGGCCGGGTCAAGAAGCAGGCCGGCAAGCAGCAGACCGACGCACTCGAGACAGATGAAGATGATGTACACGGACGAGGGCACTCCGGAGACGGAGGTGTTGTTGATGGTGACGCCCAGGACGATGGCCGCTCCGACGACTGAGCCCATGGCGTTGAGGACCCATGATGTTGCAATGTATTTGCCCTTTTCCGCTTCAGTAGGATAGCATGTCGTGATGTAGCCTGTATGTCTTTTGTGTGAGTTTGGGAGCTCAAGCGATCAATGTTGCTGTTGTTCATCCATTACCTTGCGTGGACCAGAGAAGACCCGCGGAGAGTCCCAGCCAAGCACCACCAAACAAGACGAACCAGGAGCCTTCGCCTTTGTCAATCCACCTTTTCACCGTCAGTTTGAACACTCCGGACCTGTGATGGGAGATTGTCTGTAAACGTACCACAGAGACCCGGCATACATGGGATAACCCGTGGCTCCAATCACGAGCGCCCATCGGGGTCCAATCTTGTTGATGATGCTGCCTCCCAGGATGCCAGACGCTCCAAACAAGCAGTACAGAATGACATTGGCCTTGTTAACGATACCAATCAACTGCGGCTGCTTGCCACCAGCACCCAGGCCGGTGATGGCGAGATACGTTCCAGGATTGCAGAACAGCACGAAGCCGACAATGATGGTCTGAACAAAGGGCCTATGCACACGAGGTTAAGCACCCAAGTCAGCAATCCAGGCCTACGAGATGGCAGTCAGGACGAGGTCGGGGGCAACGCACGAGTTGTATCGCCAGGTGGAAAGACGCTGATGCTGTGGCTGCGCCTCGACGATGGCGACTTCATCCTTTTCCGCGGCCATGATGAGGATGCCGAAGAAGGTCTGCACCGAGTTGAGATTGCCAGTCCTTTCTGTCTTCCCCAATTATTGGTTGGTGATGATGAAGAAGAAGGATTAGAAGAAGAAAGGAAAGGAAAGGAAGGGAGATGAGAGAGTGGAGGAGGAGTCGATGGAGCGGGAGACGAGCAAGTGCAGAAAGAGCGGACCGCCTCCGTTGTTATTATACTACTAGTACTAGGTAGATAACTGCATGCACGCTGCAGATACCTTACGATCTGGCTGGCTGCTTCCCGTCTGGCGGTCTCTCTTCTCCGCAGCTTCCAGACGCGGTTCTGGGCACAGGCAGGCAGTCACAACCGGGGAAACAAATGAGAATTCAGAAATCCGGGAGATAAAATGGAATTAGAACGAAAAAAGAGATAAAAAGCTGGCAAACTACGAGTACTACCTACTACCTAGTACTTAAGGTAGTACCGATTCACCCCAGTCAACGCTCGATGTGGCGCCCGCAGGCCAAAGAGCCAAAGAAAATCATGTGTAAAAAACGACACCATGGAGCCGTTCCCCCGGTCTGCAGCTTAAGCTCTTCTCGGGGGCCAAGCGTATCTTTATCCCTGAAAGGGGGGCAACATGAGCGAGGACAAGAGCGGGAAAAGGCGATTTGTGACTGCCGGCTGGGAAAGACGGAAAAGCGAACAGAAAGTCAACGGGCGCCCTTGTTGAGGGGGGAAAGCCGATTTGCTCGAGTCTGACAGGGACTTGCATTGGCTGCTTGCTAGGAGGGGGAGAAGAGGAGGAAGACCAAATGCTGGGATCATGTCACTGCAAGAAGCTGAGAAGATGAATGGGGAAGAACGTGGCTCTGGACCGGAGAGTTGCGGTAAGACAGCAGAGGAGAGGAGAGGAGAGGCCCGGTGACCATGTTACATAGTATCGAGTTGATTAGGAGTTGTCTGTCACTCTCAAGGATTGGAGTTTCTACCTAATGGAGGTATCTCTTCATCAGGACCGAGGCAACGAGTCAAGTCACCGGTACGGGACGAACCAGAATGCCTCGTTTGATCGGACGCGAGTCCGAGCGTACATACAGGTACCGCCCCAGCAACAGCCGAACAAGACATGCCAGGTCCAGGTACGCCAGCCACTAAGCGGTGCTGCCAGCAGGCGGGTATGGGTTACATTCTCCCCATACGCATAAACTCATCGCTTTCCCATCAGTCGATCCATGTCCAAACAGACTGCGTTGTAATATCAATCAAGAACTTCTTCAAGGAGCATTTATGTACCTACCGTCTGCCAATGCAATGGCATCTTGATGAGTGAAAGAGATGAACTGCCAGCCTCGATCAAAGGCAATCAAGCAGCTTGAGGATGAGGCTACGAGTAGGTGCATGTGGGCAATGGCTTCGACTCCACGGCCGTGGTTCCTGGTCAAAGAAACGTGGCCGTGCTTGTTTGTGCTGTACGATACACCGGTTCTTTTTCCTGCAAGGCAGCTAACGCATGATTGCGGGCTCTCCCGTATTAAAGCACGGGTCTCCAGGTCTCCATAATCGACACCCATAACCCTTGCAGAGGCCTCTTCGCCACCCCTGTTCTTTTGCTGTGTACAGTACAGGCATCACAGGCCCTGTTGAAGCATCACAAACCCTGGTGCTCCGTATGTACAGTCGAAGCATCCATCTGGGATCCATGACTGCCAGCTGGGGAGTCAGGCGAGCAGCGAGCTGAGCTGAGCTGAGCTGAGAGTTGAAGCGAGCAATTTCGTCACGCTTGAAATCTCCCTCTTCACGTCACATCAAGTCATTCTGCAAATCCTCGTACCAAACAACCTTACCGCCTGGTGATGCTGCACGTTTCGCTAACCCTCACAAAAGATGCCCTTGTCTACCTTGGGTGATCCATGTCCCAATAGTTCTCCAGTCTCAGCCGTTGCCGCTCCGATGACTCTTTCGACATGAGCTCACCCCGGATGGCTCGCTAATCTCGAGACACCGCCACATGCCGGCGGCACAAAAGCAGAGCCCTCGTACTCTTCAAAGAGTGAACCGCCGGGACCGACTTTCGGATCGAATACACTGCTGGTGAACGCCACGTTGATTGTTGGAAGTCGGATGACCAGAGAAGTCCTGCAAGTTATCAAGACCTTTGGTTCAAGGCCGTGGTCTCGGTATGTCGACGAGACAGTAGCTGTCGTGAAGCGAGGAGCTGCACGATGAGGTTCATGAGATGTGTGCTGGCTACGATGGCCCGGACTTTGTCCTCATCTTGTCTGGCGAGCAAAGGCTGTTAGTTTCGCATAAAATTGCAAGTGGTAGATGGAGAGATCAGAAAAAACAAGCAAACGAAATCGACTCTTTGTCGCCCATCACGGCCGAAAGGCAGCACATGGTCGTCGAGTAAAAGAGTTTTGGCAGGTCTTTGATGACTTTGAAGTCGGTGTCAATTTCTTGAGGTGTCGTGGTCCCTGAAACGTTAGTGCAATCTTTGGGGGAATTGCAGCGCCAACAGCGCTGTAAACCAGTGCTAGCCGGCTCGCTTACGACCTCGCTTCGTGGCTTAGGCGAACATGGGATTGATCTCATGTGATCATCAAGTGAGTATGAGGATCAGGCAATTCTTTTCTAATGGTATTCCCTCCTCAACGCTCAACTCGAACAGCATCTCAATACCATCAGCTCTCCGGCCACTTGCATTGCCATCTTCTGGGTGTTGTAGAAGCAGAATTGAATCTGTAATTGCATGTATTGCTGACCTATCTATCCCGGGTAGGAAGTCGATTGACTCAGACACGAAGCTTCACGATAAGGTCTTGGCAGCGTGAGAACTTGAACCATAAAGCGCGGACTACAAGTATAAAAGCAGCTTTAGGTACAAGTTAACTCTGTAATATACCAACAGGCAGAACTGTTCTCAATAGGCCTGGAATTTGCGCCAGAATATCCCAGTTCTTTCAATGTCGAACTATTGACGTGATTCCATGCCTTGATGACATTTCAATCACCGTTGTTTCTTCCCCCCTTGCCCAGAAGCTTTAAGCTTACGGGGCCGCCGTGAGTTGATAACTGACGGATAACGCAATGTCTTTCAAGACAAACGGGGAAAAAAAAAAATGCCATGTCTGGAAGAGAAGAGGTCACAAGTCGGAGAGTCGGATATAGTAGCTTTCCAGCAATGGCGTGATTGAAGCAATTGTGCCACGCAGGAGCTGGCCTCTTCAAGACGTCAACGATGTAATGTATTCGCATCAATCGATATCCGACGTCAAAGTCATACTTCTGAAACTTGGTATGGGTGGGATAGCTGTTGGGAAAGGCATCCTCTAGAGTCGTCCACTCCTCTCCGTTCTCCGGCATCGGTCTGTCCACTTGTTGAGTTAAAATCTCTGGATCTGCGAGGTAGAATGGAAAGTTAAGTAGTTCTAAAAGGCATAGCTGACGAAGTAGAAGACGTTCTGCACATCCCATGGGGTGGCCTTGACGTAGGTTGCAAATGCATCCTGGGGATTCTCTCAAACGTCAAGACCATCTGCTGACCTAATCTTGCCAACCTCCGTCTGCGTGGGCGTCCATGACCTGTAGTAGTCTCTGAATCTCTCAAACGTAACCTTTTTCGTTTTAGTATTAACCAACATCTTGACTTTATAGGGCCTAGGCAGGCCTACTATACCCAGAGCCGGCCCAGAGAATTCAAGCGCCACGCTGAGAGACGTAATGGAGTTCTAATACTCTAGGCCGCTATGGGCGTCGATGACGCTCTGTAACAGTTCAGGACTGGAAAAAGGTCAGGCATTGTTCAGAGACAAGGGGAGTAATGATCTAGAGATGTACCTAGCAGAAGCCATGGTGACTTCAAATGGACTGAACGAGATGCCGTTTCATTACAAGATGTTCTGGAGAATTATATACCCGCAATTGGTTCAGTCACACTCCCTGAGGTCGCATGTTGACAAACTTACAATGTAATCACACAAGAGAGGAAAGAGGGTCCTTGAACTGGACATCATGGGGCGTTCGGCTCTTGATTGTATAACAACATCGTAATTGGTAATCTGGGGAGCCCTTGTTATACTTGATCGGGTCGTAGGGAACTCTTTGTGGCAGGAGAGATCACTAGACGCAAAAAGTCTTCCGTGGGCCTCCACTGAATCCTGGTCCTCAATATTGTCTGTAAGTAATCGAGATCAACTTGTTTAGTGACGCAATGAGCCCTTGTATATAAAAGAATTGGTTCCTAAGATCTTTGCGGCCATTGTATCAACCAAATGCCTCCCATAGCAGCTCAACATCTTCCCTGATCAGCCATACACCCTCTAGCGCCTTTGTATGTTGATCAGAAGACCGTCACATCTCCTTTTCAACTGTATATTCAGTCATGGCTACTGATAGGAATCTCCATATCTCTTCAGCCTTTCCATACGAAAAGCAGTCGGTCGAAGCACTGGGGAATCGCATGGCCTATGTCGACGTTGGCTCTTCCTCTTCCGGGCCCGTTGCCGTCTTTCTCCACGGCAACCCAAACTCGTCGTATCTCTGGCGTAACATATTTTCGCATGTTTCAAAGGACAATCGCTGCGTCGTGCCCGATCTCATCGGCTTCGGCGATTCGGATAAAGTGACGGGACTTGAGTATAGGATTCGCGACCATCAGCGCTACATCGATGCTTTTCTTGATGCCGTCTTGCCAACAGGGCGTATCACTTTCGTTATCCACGACTGGAGCTCTGCTCTCGGCTTGGACTGGGCCAGTCGCCATCACGAGCGCGTCGCCGGCCTCGCTCTAATGGAGTGGATCACCGCCTTGAGCAGCTGGGCCTCTCGAGACCTGGTATTTCAAGACCATTTTCGGACGTTCCGTACGCAGGACGTTGGGAGAGCCTTGATCATCGAGCAGAACTTCTTTGTGGATACAATTTTGACCATGGGTGTTGTTCGAGGGCTGACGGAAGAAGAGATGATACACTATCGCCGGCCGTTTCTGAAACCTAAAGACCGTGAGCCAATCTGGAGATTGCCCAACGAGATTCCTATTGAGGGGCACCCGGAGGACGTGTGGGAAAATGCTCACAGATACACCCCTTGGCTTCTCGCATGGAACCTACCGAAACTGTTCTTCTGGGTGACGCTGGAACGTTCGTCACGGAAGAGGACTTTGTGAGACTGAGAGGAGCCATGAAGAATGTCAAGACCGTCTTTCTGGGACTAGAAAGGCATTTCGTACAGGAGGACTATCCCCACACGATCGGAAAGGAGATTGTAGACTGGGTGGAGGAGTCGAGTCTTTGATATAACTCAGTCTTAGCCCGGTGCTTGTAGGTGCCTCGGCTGCTGATAGGCCACTGCAGTAACTTGGAGTCGGCAGTATCCCTATCGATACAATGGACGATACCTCATTGTTCGAGTTGACCGCCTTCTTCTTTCTTTCAGCGCCGTACCTGCCTCGTCAATCAAAGACTTAGGGCAGAGCCCGCACGAACCGAGTTTCTCACTTTGGCAGGAACTTCTGGTATGTTACTTGGCCACAGCCTTTTGAACAACCCGCCAGAAGCAAACTTGAATCTTCCATCCTCTCTGCCTCAGATACGCACGCTATACGGCACAGAAACCATCATTTATTCCATCTGAAGACAAGGAAGAGCATCCACCTTCGCCCTATGCGCCGCCCCAGCCAAACTCCCCACCTAACAATGTCTTCAGCCCGGCTCAGCCTGCCGGAGACCTTGATGTCATGGATCTGGCGTGAGTCATGTCTCTCCTTGGTGTTATAGAACAAGAAAATCTAACAAGAGCAGTGAATATTTTAGCCGTGCCTGGCCTTGCCGGTGCCGAAGCTCCCACCTGTTCTACAGAGACCCCCGAGTCCTGCTGCCGCTGCACGAGGGGGTGCCCGGGTCTCGATTCTCGAACACAACCTGTGCTTCGGACGTCAGTCATTTCATGAGTTTGCCAACTGTTGGCTAGAATTGCGCATGAACAGCTTGACTCAACTCGTCGATTCTTGCATCCATCTTGCCGTCTACTCTGCCAACCACTCTGTCTGGCACCTGCAATGCCCTCGACCATGGGGCCCATGACGACGCCCGCTTTGGCCTATATCCTGACCCTTGAACTGTCACATAATGACGCTCTTCTCAATGCATAAGACTGAAATCACTGTGAGTATTCCACAAGTCAGGCGCTCACTGCCCTTGTTCCATCAAGCGAGAGTAACGCTAACATGTTGAAGCCCGATTTTACGACTACCGGCAGATGTCACTGTCATTCACAAGGCAATGGAGGAGATACTCTTTCACAACCCAACCTCCTTTCCGCCACCAAACCTTGCCAGCATTCACAGATATTGACGGAAGCAAGAGCATGTCGATCACGATCCAATACCAGCTTCGATTCACACAGAGAAGAGTCATTTCACCTCGATTCGGATACCTCGCTTCGGGATGATCCATCGCCGGCACAAGGCCTGTCGATTCGACTAGTTATCATGATTCCCCAAAGGGCCAAAGAGCCCATTCATTGGGGTGGTGAACAACAGGGCCAAAGAGCCCATTCATTGGGGTGGTGAACAACAGGGCCAAAGAGCCCATTCATGGGTGTGGTGAACAGGGCCAAAGAGCCCATTCATGGGTGTGGTGAACAGGGCCAAAGAGCCCATTCATGGGGTGGTGAACAACAGGGCCAAAGAGCCCATACATGGGGTGGTGAACAACAGGGCCAAAGAGCCCATTCACTGGGGTGGTTTCTGGCGGGTGCATGATGCGTCCTCGATGGCCGCCGATATCGATGAGCTGTACTTCAATCTCTCATATCCGCTCTCGAAAACACTCTGCCACTCAAAGAATCTGGGAGCGTGCTGTCCCCTGTTGCTCAGTGAAGGCCGCGTGCCACAGAGGGCCAGCAGTCCACCGAACCCAGCCGTGTCCTCAGGCCACCATTAAGGCACACCTTACAAACGCCAAGGAGGAGCTCAAAAGAAGAGAGAGTGAGTTGGGTCTTCGCAACTAGGAATGAAAAGAGACATTGGTCGGTCTTGGTCTTGGTCTTGGTCTTGACAGATATCATTTGTATATATCGCGGATGGCCCCCGCTCTATCACTGACTCCTTGTCAGATACGCCGCAATAGGGGAATATATCCACGTCAAAAGGCGTCCAGACAGTCGTGGGCATCAGTAACCACACTCAATGTTGATATCTCGATGGTGAAATCCCTGACATCTAGAATCAGCACTTGCCATCGAATGTGGGTGTCATCGGCGTCCATCTACTGGACATCATCGACCAATAACGCGGAAAGTCGAGTGTCAACTGCGTCAAAGCACATGCAGGCAGGATGTGGGAAACGAGTGCGGCAGACCAGACGGTTAATATACTGGGTCATCCTCCATGAATGACACCTCGCTTATACGTATTAGCACAGATTTTCCCTGCCGCCACCATGCTCTGTCGTTGTTCCTCCTATCAAGCTTGTGATAGCCGGGTTTCGGACTTCGGACTTTGAAGAACGGCACGTCATCAAATGGAACGCTCTTCCGATCAGCTCACTATTAGCCAAGAACTCGTCTTTGCTTCTCCGTATTCAACCTCAACATCTATCTCTCGAGCATTTCATCACACGAGCATTCGCAATTCTCGACATAGGAGCTGTGAGCAGCCAAGCAGGGCCAAAATCTGCCCCTTATTCAGCAAAGCAGGTTATTGATTCCAACAATTCAACATGTCGAGCTGGAATCCATCGCATCTCGCGGCGTCTATAATGTCTCATATACGACATCACCCTATACTCTTCACTTCTGCAATTGCGATCGTGCCGCTGGGGGCTTTGATGCTGCCTTCTTACCGTGGCTTCATCGATCTTGGTCCCGGTGGCCTCCCACACAATGTCGTTGGCTGGCTTCTCCAAGGCGCCCTGCGTCCATTAGCCCTGAATAACACCCGTGACCAGAGCCTCTTTCAGAAGCCTGGCATTGCTTCTGCATACGAGCCTCATGGAACCACTCGGTTCCTGCAGGGCGAACTCTCGGCGCGCCGAGGCGATAGACCGATCATACCGAATTACGTGGCACCTCAGAGGCAGAAGACGGAAAAGGGTGATGAAGCGCTTGTCAACAGAATGAATAGCCATCTGAGAGACCTGGCAAGTCATCGTCCCGAGACGCTGGCCGTGAAAGGATCTGGCCTGGAAGCAAGAGATAACCCGGCACTGTGGCTTGTCGGCACTCCCTTGCCCAAGTACCTGGCGAAAAGCACAAAGGGAGAGATCGTTCACGTACACCCAGAAGCCAGCTCGCACATGATACTCAGCCTGAGTGACGCAGAAGAAGCGATGGCAAAGGGCTGGGCTGAACTGCACCCGCTTAGCAGCGTCATGGGATACCTTCCGTTGCCGTATGTCATGGTGTATGCGCCGCGAGATGAGGAGGAATATGGAGTGTGGACGAGGTTTGTCGATGCGGCTGTGGCTTTTACGACGGCAGAACTACAATAGCTGAGGAGAGATGTCGTCTTTCTTTCATTTCGGACCTGAACAGGTTTTCTTGGGGGCATTCAAGATTGTGATCACACCGTTCAATCGTTCACTCACACATTAGGTCGAAGGGGGCCACTAGCCATATATCTGATGTTCCACTCGTGTCTTGTTGAAGCTTTGGAAGATTTCTAGGAGAGTAGCCAGGTTGTGTCACATGTATGACAGTCCCGATTTGTGTATAAGGAAGTGTGTGCCAGTTGTTTTGAGATGAGTCGTATTCGTCAGATGTAGTTACCTCGTAGGGTCAATATATATCCTTGTTCAAGTCAAATAGCTGTTTGAAAAGGCTGCGCGGATCTCGGGTTCTTTTATTAGCAGAGTTTGACAGTTGATAGGATGAACCAGAGGTTCTCATCTTTCAGGCTCGTGATGACAGGCTCATCCATGACGCCAGCGATTCCCGTCCGAATCACATCTCCATGAAAGTCGGCTGCATACATGCTAGAATGGAAAGTTTCTAGGGCTTGGAAAGCTCAAGAGCCATGCAGCACGATGAATCGTCTTATAGGTAAGGTAGTTGGATACCGCAGTGGCACGCTATCTATCTCATGACTCACCGTCAAGCGCATGCATAGCCTCGCGTGAGAATGGAATATTAAACACTTGGTCGAAGAAATCGTATAAGAGTTATCGGTAGAAGGGGCTTTTTCACGAGTCTCTTTCTTACAACAGCTTATGATGAACCGATGAAAGAGGCTCACTGAAGGATTCGGTCGCCAAATGGTGAGATAGCACTAGCCGCCTATCCAGCTGCCTTGGGACAATGCATGATTTGATGAACAGTCACTCCGATGCAGTAACTCAAAGAGTTCAATGAAGTAGAGTGAGACATGCTGTTTGAATATGTAGGTGAACATGCTGTAGCATGTGCCGTGAGGGCGTCATCTGAGGCTAGTGATTGCAGAATGAAGTCCACACATAAGTGATTGCTGCGCAGTTACGCGAGGATCGCTTACAAATCTGTATTGATATAGGAAGCATATGATCTCATTTCTTATAGAGAGATTCTTATCGACCAGAATGTCGGTTCAATCCAACGTTGAAGCTCAGCGTCGTCCACACCAGATTGCATCTCCAATTCCCCCCATCTAATATATATACATCAGGAACTGAGCCGCAGGGGCATAAAAAACATAGAAACGGTCTATATAGAAACATCACTTGAGATAGTCTATTCTTCTTGTCATGAGCGTGACACAACCCATGAAGTCTTTCAAGGTTTCATGATCATGATGTTCATGAGAGCGTTGTACAGTACGAATTGTGTGCACTGGAACGGCAACAATAGCGCTATACAAATGTTCTTCAGCGGGGTATAATTCGCTACTTGAGCCGCAAACACAGTGCCGACAAATCGCTTACAACACAAAAGACTTCAGGAAGACGAACACCATAGGTACAATGGATTTTAACATGAGACGGGCCGACCTTGAAACTCATACTGAGCCATTACCTAGCTGTATACCTGCTTGCTTTGAACACAATTCTCGACTCTCTTCAATCACATCGCATAGCAGTATCGTTGAAGACATGGACGGCAGCTGATATACACCATCACATGATACGGACACTCTTTGGTTATGGATATATACATACAGCTACAGCAATACATAGCTTCCTAGGTATATCTGTGTACTATATCAGAGCTACGGCTTCACAGTGAGTATTTCATACTTTTGTACCGAATTTATTGGTTTCCCTTCTCTTTCTTGTTTGATACACCCTTGTGAGGTCATGTCTCCTTCGATACCTGGAGGCCTTCAGGTACTAATAAGGTGAAGCCGCTAGAGGCGGCAATACAGAGGGTGGGGCGCTGTATCTGCACCTGTAGGCTTATCGATTGCTTGGTGGGGGACGACCGATGACTGCGAATCTCAAATTTTGTTTCCAGCCTCGTCCGAATTATCTTAGCCCTGCATCTTCCCATACCTACCGACCAGCTCAGCCGCATCCTCCCCGTCCGACGGCCTTGCGCATCTCCTCTCTCCGGGTCCTCAGAGTCGAAGCGGATCGAATCGATATCATGTCTTCATGATAAGCAGCGCAAATCCAAACTCCGCGCAGGCGAATCCAGATCTAAAGAGGCGACAAGATGGCGCACGCCGCGTTCGTGGGCTCTACCAAGGAGCAGCTTGTTGACAACCTACCCAAGCGCTTCAAGGGAATCAAGTTTGGCATCCAGTGAGTGTCTGGCCGTGTCACACGTGGTGTCGAAAGCATTCTCGGCGTTCTGACCACTGCCTTTGCCAGGTCCAACCAGGATATCGTCAACCAGGGCGTGCTGGAGGTTTCCCAGCGCATGCTCTATGACATTGACAACAACCGAGCACCCCTCACCAATGGAGCTCTCGATATCCGAATGGTATGTATATCGGGTCAGCTCTGCCTCAGTATCTGTGGTGCCGTACTGACTCTTTTCCAGGGAACGTCGAGCAAGTCGGGCAAATGCGGTACCTGTCAAGAGCCTCTCAAATTCTGCATCGGCCACTTCGGTCACGTACGACTAGCGCTCCCTGCCTTCCACATCGGCTACCTTCGCTTCATCCAGACGATTCTCCAGAACGTGTGCAAAACATGCGCCAAAGTGCTCCTCACCGAGGAGGAGCGGCGGTCGTTCCTCCAGGACCTGCGCCGACCCGGACTCGACAACATCCGCCGAACGCAGATTTGCAAGAGGATCAACGAACAGTGCAGGAAATGTAGGCAGTGCCCGTACTGCGGCGAGATCAACGGCCAGATTCGAAAGGTCGGCGTCCTCAAGCTCACCCACGACAAGTTCTCCGCGTACAAGAAGTCGACTTCGCAGAAGAAGCTCCCTCCCGAGAGCAAAATCGCCTTTGACGCCTCGTTCGACGAAGCCAAGAAACTGAATCCCGACTTGGATAAGCATCTGGCGAGGGCCATGGAGGATCTGAACCCGCTCTGGGTCCTCAATCACTTCAAGATGATTACCGCTACGGACTGCGAGCTGCTGGGTCTGGACCCCACCGAGGGCCGCCCCGAGATGTTCATCTGGCAGTTTGTTCCCGCTCCCCCCGTGTGTATCCGGCCGTCGGTCGCACAGGAAGGAGCCAGTACGGAAGACGACCTCACCGCGAAGCTGGCCGAGATTGTCTACATAAGCGGGCTGATACGGACGGCCTTGAACAAGGGCAAGCCTATGCAGACCATCATGGAGCAGTGGGAGTACCTGCAGCTGCAGATTGCCATGTATGTCAACAGTGATGTTCCCGGCCTTAACCAACCGGGCTTCGGAAAGAGCATCAGGGGTTTCTGTCAGCGTCTCAAGGGCAAGCAGGGCCGCTTCAGAGGAAACTTGTCGGGAAAGCGAGTCGACTTCTCAGGCCGAACCGTCATCTCGCCAGATCCCAACCTGGGTATCAATCAAGTAGCGGTTCCCCAGCTTGTTGCCAAGAACCTGACGTTCCCCGAACGGGTGCAGAGCCACAACATGGAGAAGCTACGGCAGTGCATCTTGAACGGGCCAAAGGTGTGGCCCGGAGCCAATCATGTCATCAAGGACAACGGAAACTGGAAGCAGGACTTGCAGTTCGGTGATAGGGCACTCGTTGCCCGAGATCTCAGGATTGGCGATGTCGTCGAGCGTCACCTGGAGGACGGAGACGTGGTGCTCTTCAACCGACAGCCGTCGCTGCACAAGCTCAGTATCATGAGCCATTTGGCCAAGATCCGGCCGTGGAGGACGTTCCGTCTGAACGAGTGTGTTTGCGGTCCTTACAACGCCGATTTCGACGGAGACGAGATGAACCTCCACGTTCCACAGTCCGAAGAAGCCCGAGCCGAGGCTATTACCCTCATGGGCGTCAAGAACAACCTGGCGACGCCCAAGAACGGAGAGCCCATCATTGCAGCCACGCAGGATTTCATCACAGCCTCGTACCTCCTCAGCAGCAAAGACAGGTTCTACAACCGAAAAGCCTTTACCTACATCTGCACCCACATGGTGGATGGCGTGACTCACATTGACCTCCCTCCCCCTTCCATTATCAAGCCCGAGGCCCTGTGGACGGGCAAGCAAATCTTCAACGTGCTGATGCGTCCGAACAAGCAATCGCCCGTCCTCGTCAACTTGGACGCAAGGTGCAGAGAATACTCGGCCAGGCCCGGACAATGTCCCGACATGGATCCAAACGACGCTTGGCTCGTGATTCGGAATTCAGAGGTGATGTGCGGTCGCATGGACAAGTCCATCATTGGTTCCGGAAAGAAGAATTCCGTCTTTTACATCATTCTCCGAGATTTCGGCCCCGACCATGCCGTCTATGCCATGAACCGGCTGACCAAGCTGTGTGCGAGACAGCTGGGAAACCAGGGCTTCTCGCTCGGCGTTGGCGACGTCTTCCCCAGTACCGAGCTGACCAAGTCGCGAGACCGACTCGTGCAGGACGCCTACGACAAGAGCGATGCGCTCATCGAGACGTTCAAGCAGGGCAAGCTCGAAAAGGCCGCCGGTTGCGACATGGAGCAGACGTTGGAAATCTCCATCTCCGGTATCCTCTCCAAGGTTCGACAGCAGGCTGGTCAGCAGTGTGTGGACGCGCTGAGCCGCAACAACGCCCCCCTGATCATGGCCAACTCCGGTTCCAAGGGTCTCCACATCAACGTCGCCCAGATGGTTGCCTGTGTCGGACAGCAGATTATCGGTGGCCAGCGTGTGCCTGATGGCTTCCAGGACCGCAGTTTGCCGCACTTCCACAAGAATGCCCGCCAGCCGGCCTCCAAGGGTTTCGTGCGCAACAGCTTCTACTCGGGCCTGTTCCCGACCGAATTCTTCTTTCACGCCATCTCTGGACGAGAAGGTCTTATTGATACCGCAGTCAAGACGGCAGAAACAGGATACATGTCTCGACGACTGATGAAGTCGCTGGAGGACCTTTCCACGCAGTACGACAACACCGTCAGGACATCGTCGGGGACCATTGTGCAGTTCCAGTTCGGTGCGGACAAGCTCGATCCCGTCGACATGGAGGGTTCGGCCGTGCCTGTGCAGTTCGACCGTACGTGGACTCACGCAGAGAGCACCACCTGGGACAACAATGAGAGATCGCTGCTCCCTCATGAAGTCCTCGAGGTCTGCACCAGCATGCTGGACAAGGAAAAGCTCCGCTACAAGAGACGACGGTTGGTGGACAATGCCCTGCTCGACTATTCCGATCCAACCGACGAAGCTCTCGACGAGCACGAGAGCGCACGAGGCTTCATCGACACAATCTACTCATACGTGGCTGAGCGAGCACAAAAGATGTCCAAAGCCCGGGAACTTGTTGGGCTGGACCCGGACCCGAGCCACGACGAGGATCTCTCCAATGCCTCACCAGATCTCAAAGCCCGACTGGCCCGTGTCGAGCGAGTTTCCAAGATTTCTCTCACGACTCTGCAGAGGTTCGTCAAGGAGTGTCTGGAGCGGTATCACAAGGCCCACGTCGAGCCGGGCCACGCCGTAGGTGCCGTCGGCGCGCAGTCTATCGGTGAGCCCGGAACGCAGATGACTCTCAAGACGTTCCATTTCGCCGGTGTCGCCGGTATGAGTATCACCCAGGGTGTTCCCCGTATCAAGGAGATCATCAACGCGTCCAAGAACATCAGCACGCCCGTCATCACATGCCCCCTGCTCAACGACAAGCAGATCGAGGCCGCGCGCATCGTCAAGGGTCGCATCGAGAAGACGTATGTCATTGACGTGCTCAAGGCGATCGAGGACGAGTGGGTGAGCGACCGCGGCACCATTGTGCTGTACATTGACATGGAGGCGCTGCAAAACATGCACCTGGGCATTGGCATCGTAGACATTGCAGAGGCCATCTTGCGGTTCAAGAAGCTCAAGATCCAGCCCACCGACGTCTCGGTCGGCCCCAACTACATCAAGATTTACGTGCTCAATAGTTGGGTCGACCCCGATGCGGCCAAGAAGCGACAGCGCAGCCAAGGCTCCCTGACGATGACGGAAGAGGCTTCCGACTTTTTGCTGCGAGTCAACCACCTGCGCCGCATGCTTCCCAAGGTGCCCATCTCGGGATACAACGAGGCGACGAGGGCCATTATCCAGACGTCGGAGCAGAACGAGCACACAGTGCTCGTGGAGGGATACGGACTACGCGCCTGCATGACCACGGAGGGTGTTATCGGGACCAAGTCGCGGTCCAATTCGGTCATGGAAGCCCGCGACGTGCTGGGTATCGAGGCCGCTCGAACGACGATTGTCGACGAAATCTCGAGCGTCATGGCGGGCATGGACATTGACCCGCGTCACATCCAGCTGCTGGCCGACGTGATGACGTTCAAGGGCGAAGTCCTGGGTATCACGCGTTTCGGCCTGTCCAAGATGCGCGAGAGTGTCCTCCAGCTAGCTTCGTTTGAGAAGACGCCGGATCACCTGTTCGAGGCGGCGGCCGGCATGAAGACAGACCGCATCGAGGGTGTCTCGGAGTGCATCATCATGGGACAGACGATGAGCGTCGGCACGGGCTCGTTCCAGGTTGTCAGGAGGCTCAACATCCAGGAGTGGGAGGTGAAGCCCAAGAAGACGCTCTTTGAGGATGCCTGGACGGAAACTGTCAAGGCGAAGAAGGAGCGGCGAAAGCTACGGGGGACGGTGTAGGCTTTGATGAGATGTGTTGTGGGATTTTCTAAAGGCAATGAATGCTTTTCTGGGATTTGCTTGAATCTATGTGTATATACAGCAGTGTCCACGACCGGATGATACTTTAGGGGATATTTGGGATGGCAAAAAAGCATATAATGAACATTTATCAAGCGGATGGATAATAGAAGACTACATGGTCAACTGCGCATTCATTGTCCCTTTAATGGCACTCTCTATAGGCCAAATTGAAATTGTGAGAACATCATATAAGCACGTATAAGCAGTCTTTGCGTGGGATAGTATTACCCCCTTGGCTCCCCAAACGCCGGTTCCCCTTGATGCCCCTTATTTTAAAGAAGTCGTAGAATGCAATAACGAAATAAGTCAGAGTCCCCTTGCCATAGAATGCCTGGCCGGTTGTACAGGTGAGGAATTTTCGAAAGGAAAAAAAAAACAAGCCTTAGGCGGCCCTCTTCTTGCTCTTTTGCGTCATCCTGCGGAAAGCCTCCATTCCTCCGGCGCCAAGCGGCCGGTGGTCCTGGTTCCTGGTTCCGTCAAAGGTGCTCTTGGGAGCGATGGTGTAGCTGGCAGGGAGATTAACCATGCGAGCCCTGTTGCCACCGCCGACAGGAGCCAGCAGCCGCTCGCGCTCGGCGTCGCGGGCAGACTGGGCGGGTCGCTGGGAGAGGGTGAACTGAGAGCCCGTCTTGCGGCGTTGAGCCAGTTTGGCAGCCCTGGGATCGTCACGTTAGTATGTTATACCCAGAAGAGACGTCGATGACAAAGGACACGGTGACTAGGGAACGGTAACTGTGAAGAGGGAACGGTAGACGTACTCGTAATCAAACTCGCGCGTCTCAATGTGGCGCTTCTTGTAGTCGTCGGTCCGCTTGAGGATGGGGCGGCTCCATTCTCCCAGCAGCCGCTCGGCCATGCGCTTGATGCTGGGCTCGGGCTTCTTGCTCCTCGTGTAGAACAAGACGACCTTGCCGATGCCGCTGCTGAGGAGAGCCTCCTTTTCAATGTTGAGGCGCGTCAGGGCCGTGAAGATGTCGCGCTGGATGTTGTAGGCGGGCAGCGAGCCGTCGTTGAGCGGCTCGAGGAAGAACTTGACGTGCTGCAAAAAGTTGGTGTCGGGATCGAGCACGGCGTGCTGAACATTGTTACGGTTGAGCAGGCCGGCGACCTCGGGCAGCAGCTTGAGCTTGTGCAGGGCGGGCTGTCCCGACTCGCGCGCCTGGTTGTCGGCCTGGCACGCACGCTCCATCTGGACCTTGAGCGCGGCCAGCTGCTCGTCGATTTCGTCCTCGAGATCCTGGCATCGTTGGCGGTCAATTCCTGAATCGGACATGATTTCCCAGCATCACCAGCATCAATTAGGAGACTTACAATCTCGTCCTTTCTCCGGCGCTTGGGCGCTGACCCCCGGTTCTTCATGGCGGCGTCGAGAGCCCTGTCGATTTCGCGATTCTGTCGCTGTTCCGGCGTGAGGTTCTCGTCGTTGTCTTCGGGCTGGGGCGACGTGGGCTTGACCCGGGGCCGCCTCTCGCCTTCCGCCCGCTTCCTGCGCGGCTTCTTCTCAGGCTCGCCGCTGGAGCCATCGTGCACGGAGGCCTCGTCGTCCCGATCCCGGCGCTTCTCACGACGGGTTTCTCTGGGCTTCTTGGCCGCCTTCTCGCCCTCGGCGCGCTTGCGCTTGGTGGCCTTGAGGGTGCGGGCAATGTCCTCGTCAATCTCCACGGGGCGATCCTCGATGTTTGCCGTCTCGGGATCGTAGTCTTCGAACTGGTTCTCGTCGATTTCGGACAGCAGGTCCGAGTCGCGGTCCGAGTCTGCCTCGGCCAGCTCGTCGAGGTATTCCTGCTCCTGGCCGTCGTCGACTGGCCCGTTGGCCGGCGAATCGAGGTCAGACATGGCTGCAGGCTTCGTGTGCCCGTCGGGAAGACGGTGGGAGGGAGGAAAATGGGATTGATAGCGGGAAATGAGCCCGAGAGTCGAGAGGAATTCGTCGCAGCTGCAGATCGATGGGCCTGGGAATGCAAAGTGAGCAAGAGGTGAGACAGCTGGTTGACTTGGGAGAAAAAGATTCATTCCATCTGGCTTCCCTCGAGCCTCGCAACGCAGCGCGTGGCTGACATAAGCACGCCGTTGAGGGCGGAACAACGTTGTTGCCGCCTGAGGCACCAAGCCGAGAGCAGACTGGCGCAACATCAGCTTTTGTTTACCTGTGCCCCGGTTGCCAATGACGATAGGTCGATCTTGCTATTCTACAGTATGTGCATACTAAGTATGTGGATAAGGTAAGCAACCCAAAATGTAATGCCCGGCATTCTTTGAGCAAGGATGTTTCGTACAAGTCACTTATCCGCTACCTTGGATCAACATTTCTGAATCAACACAAGCCGGACCAGGGCCAAAAAATACATATTGCTTGCAGGAGCACGCCCCGAGACCTCGCATCATGCATTGCGCCAGCCATTCTTACAACTAAGTTACTAGCAACTTACTCGCTCGTTTGACATCGCCATCGCCATCGCTATACGAAACACTCAACAACACTCACGCGAAGGAGCAGCTCTGCGCCATGGAGCGCCGCACCTTTGAGGCGCCCATGGAATGGGAGTACCAGAACTCCGGGCCCGTCGATCTGACCAGCCCGTTTGCGCAGGTGGCCAAGAAAAGATCAGAAAACTGTTTGTGCTTCTCGTGACAAAGGGGGGACTGGACCGGTTGCGACGACAGACTGCTAACCACGACGTGCGTCGTTGCTTTTTCTTGCAAACATTCAGTGTTCAACTCGCCACACAAGTCGTCGACGACGCAGAGCACTCCGTTTTCCGCCTTTGGAACGCCGTCGAACCCGCCGTCGAGATCCTTCTTCACTCCCCAGCTCGCGCCCCGTGTCGTGGCGCCACCGTTTCGAAACCCGGCATTCACGACGCCGAGAAATCTGGACGACACGACCACCTCTGAATCCTCCTTTGCCGATGCGTCCTTCACCACCGCCGAGGCCTCCTTCACCACCGCCCCCGAGGGCAGCCCAGCGCGCACCGAAGTGTCTTCGTTTGCCAACGATACGCCCGAGTCGGAGCGCATGAGCGATGTGACGGTAGCCAACAGCCCGACGCCGACCAAGATCGACAAGAATTCTCGCTACAAGGCCTCGCCTCGGAGGCACGTGGCCGGCAGAGGAGAGATCAGGCCCGGCAGGGATGCGCTGCAGGTGCTGAGGAAAAGGAAGAGGCACAATTTCGACAAGGACGTGAGCAGCGTAGTCCGGCACCTGCCGCGAGACTGGGAGGGCGATGCGTCGGATTCGGACAGTAGCATCGTCTCGTATCAGGGCGCATCGCCGAGCAGGATCGGGCCGCCGCCATCTTCCTCGCAGCACTTGAGCCAGAGGCCGGCGACTCCCCCGAGCCGCGAGAGCTGGTTCGTCTCGGCGCTGGGCACAATGGACCGGTACCCCGGCGCGCCCGACCACATCTACAGGTGGCTACAGCTGGGGCTCAACTGCTTCGTGATGGGCATCGTCATCTTCTGCGGCTGGTCCGTCGTCGAGGCGGTGCGATCCGACATTCGCAACGCCAACGAGATGGCGCGGATGGAAATCATGAGCCGCATCTCGGAGTGCCAGAACCACTACACCAGCAACGAGTGCACCAAGAGGGACAGGCCGGCGCTGCGTGCGCTATGTGACGAATGGTATGACTGCATGACGCAGGACTCGGAGGCGATTATGCGTGTCAAGGTCACCATCAAGCAGGTTGCAGAGGTGATTAACGAATTTGCGGACGCGATGAATTTCAAGGCATGGGTAAGCAATATGCATGATGTCGACGGCTGGTAGCGGCAGAGGTAATTGGGTTACTTTACTGACAGCGCCTTGGGATCAACACACACAGGTCATGTTTGGCACAATCGCCGTCTTCATCATCTTTTCCAACGTCATGCTGCAATGGGGACGGTCCAAGGCACAGCCGGCTCCCGTGCACGCAGCCGCCTTCTCGCATGTCCCCTTGATGGGCCCCGACGCCACGCCAGCGCACTTCAGGGGGCGATTCGAGACGCCCAGATCGCAGCGGTACGCCTACCTTGACGACGACGTGAGGGACGCCGACATGTCGCCTTCCAGGAGGGCGCTTGGGCCGGGCTTCATGTACACGCCCTCAGGCCGGCGCAGCCCAGGCAAGGGAGAGCGGCCGCTCAGTCCTATCAAGTACCAGAGTTCTGGCAAGGGTATCGAGAGATCCGGGGCGTCTCTGCGCTGGCAGTGAAGGGGCGTGGCGGCGGCGGGATTTGGGGGCTTTGAATTGCACGCTTCAATGGTGTACCCCCCGGAAAAGGGAATTGATTGGTCTTGGGAGGGCATTGTTCTTTCTGTCAAGTTATTCTTCTCTCTTTTTTTTCTTTGCTTTGTTGTTTGCTTGTGTATATGGGATGGCATGGCACTCATTCATTCACATTGTGTGGCGTTGGCGGAAACAGGAAAAGGAAGGGCTCAATTGGGGAGGGGCTCGACAACGACTCGGAATCAACTTGTATCATCAGGACTGCGTATTAGGGATATGGCAAGAAACAAAAAGCAGCAGTGCTAAAGTGCAATGAGGTTGACATTGATACGTGATGATGTGCATGCAAATATCAGTGATGTTTTCTCCTGTTGGCTGTGTTTGAGGTAAAGTTGCTGGACTTGCTGATAGTAATACCAAGTACAGGCGATAACACGAGGCTGTCTGTTGTTGCCAGCTCAAGATGCCGCAACTTCTACCTCAGCTAGTAGATAGGTAGGTATGTTCCTTTGTAGACCACCACCAGATAGTACAGTATCCAAGTGATCGAATCAAGATCCAAGTCAGCCTTGTGTAAAAGTACGAGCCATCGCATGGTACTATCTTGGTTGTGTCAGATTGCCTTCAACTTCGAGTTACCGTGCATCCCGGGATGTTTCACCTGCAGCCGCAAAGGCAAGCAGAGAGATCGAGATGTGTGGCTTTTAGCTGCCAATTTCAGTGGGCTGTTGACCCTCCTCCGAGCCAAGAGCCCGTGGATAATGGTGTGATATTTCATCCTTCTTCTTCTCCTTCTCAGGAACTATATAATACGATTTCCACTTTGTGTCTTGGTTTCTTTTTTTTTTTTTCTGGAGCATGTGCCAGTCCCTCGGGGAGAAAAGGTACTTGGGCGTGACCTGGTGGGACTTGGGCGGACCCGCCAGGACGGCGGCAGAAGCTGGGCGCTGTGGCTGGTGCAGGTCGACACGGCATGTTTCGACCAGTATCGAGCAAGTAGCGTGCAGATTAACGATGACCTCATAGCTCATCATGATTAAATCAGTGCCCGCCCGTTTGGGTCATCGGAGGGGTTCCGACAACAGGTACATACAGTCAATACCTGTTCGTTCACAGCAGACCAAGCAAGATTGCCCTGTTCTCTGCTAGAAATCGCATCGACACCTACAGTACAAGAAAGCGAAGCACTAAGGAAGTCAAGGTAATAGCAGGAAAGGAACACCGAAGCCGAATGGGGAGATGCAGATGGCGAGATGTGAGATGCAGGTGACAGGTCAAGTCAAGTCGGGCCTTGGGCGACATTACAGGAGCAAAGTAATACCAACATACGAGAAGCCAACATTGACCGGGACATGGTTGGATCATGTTCCCTGCCTTGTTGCCCTCGTATGTTACTGTACATACATGCTGTACCTACAGCAATCTTGATGGAACCTCCTCAGCCTCTCTCAGTGAGTGATGATACCTCGCCCCCCTGCCATCCAGTCCAGCTTCGGCGGCTGTCTGGTTCGTTCTAGCTTGGGCCCCCCCTCCCTCCCTCTTCCGGCTCCCAGCTCCCAGCTCCAGGGGGGAGGGGGGCCCATCCAGCGCATTTTGCAAATTCGCGTTCAGCCAAATGCCGCGCCTGTGAAACGGATTCATGGATCCCAATCTCTTCTCTTCTCTCTCACATACATGCCGGCCTTGCCTTGATAGAGACAGCTCCCCACTATAAAATGGGGGAGGCCTGCAGCACACCCAGCGATTTACACGTAAGGTAACATGTAGGGCCAGCATCCAGTTCGCCGATGAATGCAAAATTGGGTTCTTTCGCAAGGGGACGGCCTTTCAGCCTCTCAGTTATTACACGTATGTATGCAGTTACTACCTACCTTGGGTCGACAAGGTACATGTAGCCAAGGTAAGGGAGTCATGATTGATGTTTCTCGCCTGCATGAGCCCCGTCCATCCCCCCCCGTCGTCCCGCCAGGTGCCTCTTTGTTCGCGAGGCCACCAATCGCAGAGGTGCAAGCTGTCGGCCGAAGGTGTTGAAAAGCAGGCGAGCGGTCAGTCCAATTGCCGTCTGCTCGTGGCTTTGCAGACGCCTCATTGTCATGGCTGGATCCTTCATGTATGTCCCTAGTAGTAATAGTGTGTACCTACCTAACCTTAGGTTGATTATCTGTATGCCTGTTGAGTCTCCCTGCGTTGCCTTGGAACAGGTCAGTCGGTCGTTCGCTCTCGTTTGATGCCTTCAACGGAGGGAAGTTACTAGCACGTACATGTACCTTGGGTACCTTACCTGCTCATCGTTCGACCTGAACCTTGAATACTGGAGTACATGCACGTCCAATGCGCTGTTACATCCGCTCACAGCTGACCTCTCCCCTGCGTCAATGTCTCTGCGGCCTCGACCTCGAGTCCCCCCTACCTCGCGCGGTACCTACTATCTATGTACTCCTAGACGTGGAAACCTGTGCAGCTGCTAGCCCAGCCGCAAAACGTGAAGCACCACGCCCTCGGGACCATGATCGCGCTCCGCCAACGTCATCCTGTACTGTAGGTACAAGAACGTGCGTGTAATGTGTGCGCTCGCACGTTGGTAATCTCCAAAGCAGTTTGATCGGTAATCGACTCTGTACAGTACTACTACCTTAGGTACAGTAGGTACCTCCAGCACGAGGCCGGCCATGTGCCGGGAATCGCAATCGCATGCGCTGGCGCCATCTGGGACCAAGACGCGGCCACAGTAGGTTGGATTGGCCGGAAGCTGGAGCCCTTTCCCAGGCCCTCGTTAGCGGCTGCTGGGCCCGCGGTGGTGGTGAAGCGGCCCCGAGCTCTAGTGGTCGAATAGCGCCCTCGGCTGCCCAGCCCACAGCTCTAGCGGCTGATGGCACCTGTGCTCTGACGTGCTGGGGGGGTGGGAGGGAGGCGGGGGGGCCACTGGAGCTCTGCCAGGCTCTCGCTAACTCGCTGCCCCCGCCCCGCTAGCAGCGGCTGGTCGTTCTGCTGTGCGGTGCTGCGGATTGGGTGGATGGGATGCACGGATTGCATGCACTGCACGAATTGCCATCCGCGACTCTGGGACCATCGCGACGCTTGCATTGCTTCTCTCTTTTCTCTCTCTTTTTTTTTTGCCCTCCCTTGCCTTGAGCCTTTGCGCCTCCAGCCTCGCGACTCTGCCGCTTCTGCAGCTGATCTTGCTCCTGATTCTGATTCTGATCCTGATCCTGCTTCTGCTCCTTGCTGCTACTGTTGCTGCTGCTGCTGCTGCTGCGAGACCTGCCGCGAGACCTGCAGATATCGCCGCTCCTCCCCTCCTCGTCCATCTCCGGATTCGCCCTCCATATAAATCTGCTCCTCTGTCCATCCGATGCCTTGCCGACTCTGATATCCAGCCGCGCGACGCCCGCGAACCCTTTCGCACGAGCTCCCCAAGCATCAAGACGGATTGCTTCTCGACCCCCCCTCCCCCACAGCATGTCTATCCCACCACGAGGCTGCAGCAACCGCATCTCGAGCTCAGGAACCACGCTGGTTCCGCATCGCTGAAGCAACCGACATCTCCAGACTCCTCTCTTTCTCCCGCGTCCTTCTCCCTCTCTTTCTTCCACGGAGGAACCCCCCCGTCACCCTCAGCCTCATCCTCGCCATCATCTTCCGAGTCGCGCCCCTCCCGCCGGCTCCCACGCCGCGATGGAGGAGGACACGGGCAGCCAGACGCCGGGCCCTGGAAGCGGCCCTGGAAGTGGCCCAGGCAGCGGCCCAGGAAGCGGCCCAGGAAGCGGCCAAGGGAGCACCAGCACCGGCACTGGCACCGGCAGCGGCGCGACGCCGCAGTCCCAACAGGCGCAGTCGCAGGCCGGCCCGTCAACGTCCAACTCGCTGCTGCAGCTGTCCAAGCGCAGACGCGGCCTCGGCGTCGTCACGCCCAATGCCTGCACGGAATGCCGCAAGAAGCGAGCCAAGGTGAGCCCTGCTGTGAACGGGAACTTGAGGCGGGAGAGACGCTTTGGCCTCGTGTGTGTGTGTGCCTCTACTACATGTAGTAGAGGTATGGGCATGGACGACCTTATCGACCTACCTTACCTAGGTAGACACATGCAAAGGCGATGTCATAGCTTCTTTCCTGGCCGCTCACTGTTACCTGACCATGACTCTCGCTTGCCCATGCTATCAGACCTGTCTATCAAAATGCGTGGGCACGCACCCAACGAACAATTGCTGACAGCTCCGTGTGTGTGCGTTTCTTGTAGTGCGACGGCCAGAAACCCTGCGGGCGCTGCAAGTCGCAAAAGGACGCCGAGTGCATCTACGAAATCCCCATCCGCCAGTCTAAAGAACACCTCCGCAACGAAATCGAGAACCTGCGCCTGCGGCAGCGCTCCTCCGACCAGGTCTTTGCCGCCCTGATACAGCCGCAGCTCTGGGAGGAGGTGCTGGCGCGCCTGCGCGGCGGCCAGTCCGTCGAGAGCATCTCCGAGTGGCTGGCCAGCGTCCCTCATCCCTCGGCGCCTTCAGGAGCCGCGGCGTACGACACGACCATGGGCCACGACCTGGCCTCCATGGCCGCCTTTGGCGACACCTCGGTGGCGCCGCTCCCCGGCATGGCCCTCGGCATCGGGCCGGGGTCGCTGTCTATACCCGGCCTGTCCGGCGAGTTGGGGGGCAACGCGGCCAGCCCCTGGCAGTTCTCGTCGCAGAGCCAGGCCGGCTCGACCAGGAGCGGCTCCCACCCGGACTTGATGAGCTGGGCAGCCACCGACATGAATGCGCCGCCGTCGCGCGTCGGCTCCTGGGCCGAGAGCATGCAGACGGAACATCTCGGCGGCAGTGGTGGTAGTGGTGGTGGTCCTGGTAGTGGTGCTGGTGGCGGCGGCGGCGGCGGCGGCGAGGGCATACCGCGATATCGTGGGCTCGAGCAGGTGCTGTCGCCGCTCAACGAGCACCAGGCCATGAAGCCGCCCAGCGGCACCTGGACCACCATCACCGACGACGTCAACCTG